AGGAATCATCTGCTTTTCTGGCAACTCTGTTGCTGTTCCAGATCTTGCTAGAGCTGATCCTGAGGGCTTTCTGTGTTGATCTACTTGGTTTGGAGTGTCAGCCTTGGGACATGGTTTCCCTTGAAATAGGAGTCTAATCCCAGTAAGTAGCACCTAAAATGCTGAGGAAACCTGGAAACAAAACACAGCTTGTAGCTAAAATGCACAACTTGTGACAGCTGACAAAGGAAACACTGAAATGAGAATTAGCTGCAGTGATTTGAGGGTTTATGTTATGCTTTGCTTGGAAAATCCAGTGTACTCGATGTGACCCGTTTTGATAATGAAGTTGTGGCTGAGCTGGATGTGGGAAGGAATGCAGCCTGTGCCCATGCCAGTGTTAATTGAGGGCTCTGCTGTGGCACAGCTGCCAAAGGGGATGGCCCTCGATGCTGTCACCCCATGGAGTTCAGACAGGAACTGGATCCTGCCAGAAAACTGCCAGGGGAGAGGAAGGGATCACCCCTAAAGCCAGATCAGCTGCTGGGCTCTGCAGTTTGGGGTTGTTTGAGCTGATGCTGGGGCCAAGAGGATGAAGATGTGCAGGGTCATAGAATCACAGCATGGTTTGGGTTGGAAGGGACCATGAGGGCCATTTTGTTCCAAACCTCTGCCGTGGCTGGGGACACCTTCCACTGGACTGGGCTGCTCCAAGCCCTGTCCAACCTGGCCTTGAACACTTGCAGGGATGGGGCAGCCACAGCTTCTCTGGGCAGCCTGTGCCAGGCCTCACCTCCCTCACAGGGGAGAATTTCTTCCTCATCTCCCACCTAAAGCTACTCTCTTTCAGTTTGAAGCACCTCCTCATGTGCTGCTCTCTGCACCCTGGGCTGATTCAGGCCCCTGATCCAGCTGAGAACCATCTGGTTCTGTGGGTCAGGGATGGTTTTTTTGTTGTTGTTTCTTTTTTGTGTGTGTGTGCCAGGCGGAGTGGGACAGGTCCCATGTGCCCTGGCTGCTGCAGGTGTTGCTGAGCTGCAGCTCTGCCCTTGGATGCAGTCCCTGCAGCACTGCCATCCCATTTGGAACATGCTCTGGGAAGAATGTCAGAGCAGGAGCTGTTTCCCTGCAGCCTGCTGGTGAGGAAGGGTGGGTGTGTGGGAGTGTCTGTCTCCACTCCAGCAGGACCCACCAGCCAAACCATTTGGTGAATCACAGGGAGGCTGCTCTCAGGCTGGAATAAACTTCAAACGTGCTCAAGGCTCTGCACGAGGCTGTCAGGCTGTAATTTGTGGCTGCCTTTGCTTCCTCTCCTCCTCCTGCTGCAGTCTGAGTGGAAATGCAAAAGAGTCTGAAAGGAAGGCCACTGTGGAAAATGCCTCTCTTTATGTATTTCGCTTGTTTTGGGTTTTTTTCTTTTGCAAAGAGAACAGTTCTCCTGCAGAGCTGGCTGTGGCTGCAAAACCAGAGCCTGCAGGGGCCTCTGGCTGGCCTCCAGGGATTGCCAAAGCGAGATTCCTCACGTGCCCCACTTATGCAAAGCACAGAACTGGGCGCCAGGAGGGCGAGGTGACAGGTGACGTGAAGGAATTTGTGTGCTGTAGGCAAGGCAAAACTGAGCATCAAAACCAGCCCTGGTGCTGGCCCAGTCCAACTGGTCGGTAGGGGAGGCAGCTGCAGAGTGAGTCATGTGTGCAGGGAAGTCCCTCACTTGGCTGCAGCTTGTCAGGCTCTTCCTGCTCACTTTCTCCACTCAGAGCACATTGCCTCCCAGAAAATGGGGCTAAAAACCAAGTTTAGGCTGGGCAAGGCCTGCTTCTCCCTCAGCTGCAGCCAAGTGACTCAGCTGTATGTCACTGCAGACAAGCCATGATCCTTCCTGAGAAGCCTCAGCTGGTATCTTATCTGGGAGGTTTATCTGCAGGAAAACCCCAAATCTCAGCAGAAGGTGGAAGGCAGACAGTGGCTGCAGCTCATGCCCTCAGTGCCAGTGTCACATCTGTGAGCTGGACCTGGTCCCAACAGCCTGAGATACCCTTTGGAGTTTCCCACTCTTCCAAACATTCACAGCAGCCAGCTGGTGCTTGAACTCTTGATGCCACTTTATTAATTCCATTTTCAAGTGAGGAAACTAGCAGGCAGTATGGCAAGACCAGGAAAGCTGTGTCATGGAGACAATTTGTTAATGCCAGATATTATATGCTGTGTGCTTGAGAGAGGAAAAAAAAGGTTCTAAATCAATGGGAATTGGCAAAACTCCAGGCAAACCTGGGCTAGCCTGAAATGCTAACAGATTGGGGTAGAACCTGCTAGCTCCAAGCTACTCCTTCCTTCCTTCCCCCTGTCCTTCAGCTCCCAGAAGAAAAACACCCTGCCTGCTGAAATAGCTCTCCTGTTCCAGACAGTCTTACTTAACCTCCTTTTAAATATCCTTCACAAAGCTCCTTTTTTTTGGTGTGTGTGTTTTCCCAGGTTAGTAGCTGGCTGCTGGTTGGAAGGTTGAGGTGCCTCGTCAACACTTTATGTGCACTCCTGAGATAAGGGCAGCACACTGAGCCCTGCCTGGGCAGGGTGGCTTTAGAACCTGAGTAAAGGTTGCTTGTTTAGTCTGGCCAAAATTGGGGGTGGCTTTCTGCCTTGGTGATTCAGTCTGGGTGCACCTGGCTCCAGTTTGGGAATTGCCCAAGAACCTGGCTCCTGATGAGGTGATAGCAGAGGCTCTGGAGGCTACAAATGAAACTCTGTTCTCCTGTGGAGGAGCAAAAGCCCTGTGTAGGCATCAAGTTCTCCTGATGTGGTTTGTGAAGAAAATCACAGGAACTGGGGCTTCTTAGCTGGGCTTTTAGAAGGGTCTTATAAGGAAAGGAGAAATGTGTGTTAGCTGGGCAAAGGGAAACAGAACAGATCCACTTCCCCCTAACCTCTATTGTGCACGTAAACCTTAAATGTTATCCACAAGTCTGGGCCTTGAAAAATGAACATGTAGGTAAGGACCTAATAAGGTAAAAACATGTGTGCCCTCAGATGAAGGGCAGCACCTGGAAGGTCCCCACAGGGAACAGGGTGAGCTGGGCAGAGACTGAGCTCTTTAAATGGGAGAGGTTTGTGGAATGCCCAACGAGGGATCTGCCCTGTCCCTCAGCTGAGTTGGTTCAGTTTGCTGATCCAGTCAGGAAAACAATGCTCGTTTTTTTTGGTGGTTTGTTTTTTTTTTTTTTTTGGTTTGTTTGTTTGGTTTTGGGTTTTTTGGTTTTTTTTTCCCTCTGGGTTAGTTTGTTTTTTCAGTCAGCTGCATCAGTGTGCGAAAAATGCATGATTGGCTTTTCGCAAATATTCAAATGAATATGATATGTGTTTTGTTAGAAAGTAATGCTGTATTAATTCTCTTAAATAGTGTGTTAAATATAGTTTTAGGTTATAAAAAATGTTACAATAGAAACTATGCTATGTAGGATACTTTTTTTAAAGAAAGGACTCGCAGTGAGATAGTGATTGGCGTTTTTCACAAGTGTAAGAGGCAAGGCAGGAGTAAGAGGCTGGGAGACAGCAAGCAAATGCAGGCTGTTCTTAATGATACTTTTAATTGCTGCTCACTTGGAGCACAGGGATACCTGGCTGCCCTGTGACAAGGAAAAAGCAGCATTGCCATTGTGTCCCAAGCCAGATGGGGAACCCCATGAGGGGAAGCACCGTGGTGGCTCATACCCAACGTGATGTTTGGTTCTGCAGAGACCTCACAGCACATCCTGCTATCTGAAGGAGGTGTGAAAAATGCCAGACACTTGTTTTTAAAATTTTAAAAGTTTATTAGTAATAAAATGGTTATATAAAAAGTAATTAGAGTAGTAATAATTTGGACAATTTGAATTAGGACAATATGAGACAATAAAAACAAAGAGTTACAGACAGTCCAGGTGCCTCTTTCTGGGCAAAATAAGCCTGAAAAAGGACCCACGTTAACAGAGGATTAACCCTTAAAAGCAACAGCCTGTTGCATATTCATACACCTCATCCATGAGGCATAAATTCCATTCAAACCCAGGATTCTGTCTGGGCAGTGTCAGCTTCTTCCTCTGAATCCTGACTGAGTCTTCAGGGCTGAGTGAGGCAGGAAGAACTCGATAATGGAGCAATAAATTCTCTTTCTCTGAAAGATTTGGGTGTCCTGTGGCTGCTATCTCACTGTGAGTCCTTTCTTTAGAAAAAAAAGTATCCTACATAGCAAAGTTTCTATTTTAACATTTTGTTATAACCTAAAACTATTTGTTTAGTTTAAGGCATGTTAAAGGCATGTCATGCAGCTGAGGGCAGCAGGAGACTAGTCAGGCCTGTTTTTCCTTAGAAGCCACTCTTTTTATACAATGTAACACACTATTTAAGAGAATGAATACAGATTACTTTCTGACACAATACATATAATATTCATTTTAATATTTGCGAAAAGCCAGTCATAAAATACACATTTTTCACAGAGGCCACAGGAAAGCTGGGGAGGGATTCTTCACCAGCAGTGGTACAATTTGAAGGAGAGGTAATTTAGATTGGATATTAGGAGGAAACGTTGATTGCTGTGAAGGGGTTGAGGCACTGGCACACGCTGCACAGGGAGGTTTGTGGATGCACCTTCCTGGAGCTGTTCAAAGCCAGGTGGGAGACAGTGGGAAGTGCACGGGAGCGGATTGAAAAAGGTGCATTCCAACCCCTTAACACTGTCTCCATATCGATGTGTGCCTCAATCAGACGCTGCCAGCCTGGCTCGTCTGTGTGGGGGGAACTCCCGCCTTTGGGACTCCCACTGCCTCAGGGCAGCGGAGGCAGAAATCGCCTTGAAGGCTTTATTTCTTCCCGGCCAGACAGCGCTGTTAGCAGCGGCGGGGGCCGCACGGGGCTAGAGGAGGCGCAGCTCCGAACTCGCGGCCGCCATTTCCCCTCCCCTCAGCGGCCCCGGCCCCTCACAGCCCCGGGCCGGCCACTGCGCGTGCGCGGGAGGCGGGGCGGCATGCGCGCGTGCGCGCCCCGCCCCTATATAAGGGCGGGCGCGGGCGGTGCCGGCGGCGCCGCATTGCAGACGGGCACGGAGGGGGAAGCGATGGCGCGGCCGCTGATCCTCGGGCTCTTCAGCCTCCTCGGGCTCCTGGCCGCCGGTAAGCGCTGCCCTCCGCCTGCCGAGCCCCTTCCCCATCCAGCTGAGCCTCGGTGGGCTCAGGGAGAGCGCTCAGCGTGCGCGGGACGAGGGGCGAAGGCGGGTCCTAAGGCTGTTTGTATTCGCTTCAAGATCCCAGACTCAGGGAGCGTGAGGGCAGTGCGGGTTTCTAGGGCGCCCTCGGGGTGGCTGTGATGGAAATGCTGTGTTTGGACGGGGGAGAGTCGCCCAAAAATAGCCCCAGGGCAGGGAGAAGGGGGAGTCCCCGTGAGGATCCGGCCGTTCCCGCTGCTGGTGGGGAAATAAACGCTTTCCCGATGGAAGCGTGCTGGATGTGCCCCCTCGTCCCGCACGGATCAGAGCCCAGGCTGGTGGGGACATTCGGGAGGGATTGTTGTTTTTTTCCTGCCAGCAGCGCTGTTTATCTCCGCCACTTCAGGGATAGATGGCTGCTAATCCTCTTGCGGATGGCGGGAGGTTGCCTTTGCTGTGGTGTTTCTGCATTAGGATCTCCTGCTCCCCATGGAAAATTCCACTGAATTTGCTGCTCGCCGTCTCGTTACCTGTTGTTGCTGAGGCGAAAGTGATGGGGGATGGATGATGGTCTCCCTTTAGCTGTAGGATTCGAGGTTAGAGCATGCAGTGCTTATGTTTTGTACATTGCAGAAGCTTAACAGAGATACAGAAATGATTCATAGTCTGGGGAGCAATAATACACCTTTAGGCTGTGGGATGGAATAGCTGGAAAGCCCTACACTTTTACTTGCAGAATTTTCTTCTAAATTAGACTATTTAATAATAAAGCTTATTTGTTCACAAGCTTAACCTGCAGCATTTCAAAAGTGAAAAAAAAAAAAAAGCCCAGCTGGCTGTTTAAAGGCCATAGGAGTAACCAGCTGGCACAATACAGTAAATAATCCTGTGAAATTTTTCATGATTGTACGTGAGTTTTGTCCTTTATTGTAGTTTTAATGTCATAAAATCATAGGATGGCCTGGTTTGCAAGGGACCATAAAGGTCATTTAGTTCCAGCCCTCTGCCTAGGACAGGGACACTTTCCCCTAGATATACTGATAATATTTAATATGCTGATATGTGGACACTTTAATGGCTTACCTCAGAATTTTCAAGCAGGAACCAGAAAGCAAATATCAGCTTTCACTCTGCGTGTTTATGTGCTTTCACAGTGTCCTTTGAGTCTGCTCTGCACTGAATTAGCTGCCATCACTTGCCACTCCTTCTGGGACTGCTTCCAAATGGCTGAAATCATTGCAGTTTCTTGGGCTCTGAAAGTGAAAAGGCTTCACCTTGAAGTATCCACCAGCTTTCCCATTAGTGTGTTTAGGGAAATTGTAATGAGAAACCAGTTCAGCAATGAGGGTTTGCTTGGCCTACCTGTTAAAGGCATGTCATGTAGCTGAGGGCAGCAGGAGACTAGTCAGGCCTGTTTTTCCTTAGAAGCCACTCTTTCTACACAAATAAACAGCTGTCTTTTCTCACCAGGGCTCTGAATGCTCATTGCCTCACCTGCCCTGCAGATTTTCCTGAAGATTTTGCTGGAAACACCGTTTTGTCTGCCCAGCTGGCTAATTAGCTGTGCAAACATTCAGCCACCCTTGTCAGGTCCTAATGGAGTCACTTGGCTGCCTTACAGGCCGTGAGGGTTTTTGGTTGACCTACTTACAGGGCTTCTGTGGATCTTCCCTTTAAGGGAGACACAGAGGAATTAAAGCAGGGTGTACAGGTCCTGGCATTTCTGGACTACTGATGTGCACTCTGATTGTTTCTTGTCTTTGAGGCCAGGCAGGGAGGAGAAAGGCTGGGTGTGCTCTTAAAGCAAGACTCGGTTTCTCTTTAACTGAGTATTTCCTCCCCTGCCCTTTTTGCTAAATTAAAAGTTAAGCTGGGAGTGGAAAGTAAAAACTTTGAGGATATGAATTTTTCACATCCCTCCTCCCCTAAAATTGTAGACTTACAACCTTGTAAAGAAGGCAGATTCAAGTTAATGTGTAATTCCTCTAGCAAACACTGGTCAGAACGTGTGGGGATGGGAAATTTGTGAGCTGAATTAGCCTGGCTTGAGTTTTCTTGAGGATATGGATAAAGCAGATAACTGGACTGTTCTGTAGTTTTGCAGCCTTGTTCTGCTATCAATGTGGTTTCTAAGGAAAAAAAAAAAAAAGCAGCCCACTGGTGCAGATGAAATTAGGAGAAGAGTGGAAGGTGTCTTGTGCCTGTGACCGTGTTCACAGGGGTTCTTGGATGAGGGAAGAGATGAGGATCTGACTCCATGTTTCAGAAGGTTGATTTATTATTTTATGATATATATTACATTAAAATTATACTAAAAGAATAGAAGGAAGGATTTCCTCAGAAGGCTGGCTAAGAATAGAATAGAAAGGAATGATAACAAAGGCTCTGTCTCAGACAGAGAGACTGAGCCAGCTGACTGTGATTGGCCATTAATTAGAAACAACCACATGAGCCCAATCCCAGATCCCCCTGTTGCATTCCACAGCAGCAGATAATAATTGTTTGCATTTTGTTCCTGAGGCCTCTCAGCTTCTCAGGAGGAAAAATCCTAAGGAAAGGATTTTCCATAAGAGATGTCTGTGACATGTGCCAGCAATGGTGTGACCAGGGCAGTGACTGTCCCTCTGTGCTGGGCACTGTGGGGCCACACCTCCACTCTTGTGTCCACTTTGGGAAGGACACTGAGGTGCTGGAGCACGTCCAGAGAAGGGAATGGAGCTGGGGAAGGGTCTGGAGGGTAAGTCCAGGTTGGAAATCAGGAGAAATTCCTTCTCAGAAAGGCTGCCCAGGGAGGCGGTGGAGTCAGCACCCCTGGAGGTGTTCAGGAAATGTCAGAGCTGACGCTCAGTGCTCTGCTCTGGATGTCAAGGTGGTGATTGCTCACAGCTCGGACTCGGTGATCTCGGAGGTGTTTTCCTGACCCAAACGGTGCTGTGATGATGTACAAATCAAATCTGTGTTTTCCTGGAGGAGTAGCTGCCTCTGAGGCACGGTCAGGCTGTCACCCAGCGCTCTGATAGCACAGCAGTCATGTGCCCTGTGCAAACCTGCCCTTGCACAATCCCCTGCTTGTTTGCCGGCCAGGTATAAATAGAAAAGGTTGTTGGTTGTGTCCGGAGGAGCCGAGCCAGCCCTTCTGCCCGCCCCTGCTCACGCCCCAGCCCCGGGCAGCCTTTCTGCAGCCCCGGTCTGTGCTGTCGGTGCACCGAGGGCATGGGGAGGGTGGAGCTTGTCAGCAAAACTGGATGTGTCACCTGATGGCAGCTGAGGCTCCCCGGGAGGCTGCGCTGAGCTATTTCAGGGAAGGCTTTTCTGCTGTAAAATGCAGGCACATCTTGGTTTTGTAGCTGTTCCTGCTGCCTGCCATGGGGTTTTTGTTCCAGTATCTCCTGTACATCTCTCTCTTCAAAGCAGGTTGGGGCCTTAGAACTCTGACATAAAAAGAGGCTTTGTTTTTTTCTTAAAGGATTTACTCCCTTTCTGTTTGCTTTTTTTTAATGGAGCAGCTTTTAAATGCGATTTGTTTGCTGCTGCTAAAATATCAGAGTTCTTGTTGCAATTAAAAAGGCTACATTGAAGTGTGTGTGTGTATGTATTTTAGGGCAGTGCTTCTCTGTATTTGGTCATGAGGCAATGTTTGGTTTCAGATGCCTGATAGCAGATTTTCCCAGTCTTTTTGCCGTGTATATATTTATCTGGTGAAAAAGGAATGATAAATCCAGGATTTCTGCAGAGACTCACATGAAATCTGTCCTCTGCATTCCCCACAAAAAAACCCTCAGAACAAACCTAGAAACAATGGACATGGACCACAAATATGCCCCAAATATTTTAGATATTCCTACAGGCATCTGCTGCAGGGAGAAATGCTGCTCATAAGAACTTTTTGGGAATATCTTAGCATACAGTATGGGACCACTTACTCCTGATGACTACCAGGTGCCCTGGAACATCCACTTATGTCCAGAATCTTCTGGATTCTGCCACAAGAAAATCTCAGGCAGCACCTGGCCAACTTGGAAACCATTCTTTTGCAACCTTTGCAGTTACCTGGGACAATTTTCTGGGCCAGTAGAGATGCTTTTACTGTCCCAGCTCATCCAGTTCTCTGCTCTCTTTAATTTTATTGTGATTGCTTGTACCCACACACACTGCTTCTCCTGTCATCTTGTGCTCTGCTGAGGGAAGCAAGGGAGCACCTGAGGCAGAGGCAGTGTGCCAAAATGAGAATGAGTTCCCAGCTTTGAGGAAGAGCCTGCTTGTGGTGTTAGCTCCAAACTCATTTCTTGCTCATTGTGCTAGTTAGACACGGTTCAAGTTGGGTTTTTCCTCAGTAGATATTGGAGAGGAAGACTTATTTTTAGCTGTTTCCACTTTTCCTGCACTTTTTCTTTGAATTGCCTGTAATCCCTCAAATGTTATGGTCATTTTACTGCCTCATTAATCCAGAGGCCCTTTGGCAAGAGTCACTGGTGAGTGCTGCAGTTACAACTTTTGAAGTTTCACTCATTAACCGACCAGAGAGGCTGTGGAGTATTGAGCCCTCCAGATAACTTCAGTGACTCCTCCTTCACTTCTTGACACTTTGTAAACTTTGGAGAAGAGAAGTTGATCCCTCTTGACTTCTTTAACCTAAACACACTTTGTTTTTGCAAGTCTCAAAGGACATGGGGAAAAGTCAGTAACTGGCAGAGCACAGATGGCACAGGCTGATGCATTTCTTTGGTCTGTGGTGTCTCTGGGAGATAATGAATTTTTAATTTTTTTAGCATTGCAAGTAGGACAGCCTGGGAATGACAGCCTTCCTGATGAATAGGTTAATACACTCATGCAAGTTGGACACATAAAAAGCCTGAGAGTTGACAGCACCCTAAATGATCTTCACGTTTTACTTCAATCCATTGAGTTGAACAGCAGCTCAGCACTTTCCTCATATTTTTTTCCCCAAATTACAGGTTAATTTGTCAGTAATCAAGGGTTTTTCTAGCAGCTGGGTTTGGAGGAGGATGGAGTTTTCAGGTTAAATTCCTTTGTGTTCTGGGTGGTAGCTTTCTGGTTCATCCTTTGGCTCTTTAGGGAATCTGCTCTGGCCCCTCAGAATCCCTGTTCATTGACTCTTACAGAAGCTGGTTAATTTTAAGTCTCATTTGTAGCTTCAGTGCAGCTTTGGAGGGGATTTCTTAGGATGTTTTTCTGAGAATCTAGAGAAAAAAATCCAGACTGGCTCTCTGTGGAAGAAGAGTGAGACAAATGCATGAGGGAAGGGAAGGTGTTTTCCAAGAGAGGTAATTGCCTGGCAATTTTCCTGTAGCTGTCCTTGCAGAATGGTGATCCAGCCATTATAAACTTCCTTCTTTTTAGGTCCCTGTTTCCTGGGGAGAAGTGAAGAACTGGGCTGTGCTTTCACATGCAGGGCTCTGTAAGCCAAGTGGAAAAGGTGATATTTTCTGAGGGCCATCACCTCTACTTGCCAAATTTGTGTCTGTATGTTAGGATAAACTTGGTAAAGCAAAGGCTTTTTTTTCTTACATTGAAGAAGCCACATCTGAAGTGCTTGAGAAAAGGAGAAACCAGTGAAAAGGATGAGTAAAGGAACCCCTTGGCCTTCACAGATAAACTTGTTTGATGCTCTAAAAACAGTGGTTTGCAAGAACTTGAGGAAACAGGGGGGATAGCTCTTGGTGAGCATGATATGTGACTGCTGAGAGCTGATCTACAGAGAAATGAGAAATCTATTAAAAATGCATGACCTTAGGTAAAGAAGAATATATAAAATAAAGAGATGCTAGAGATAACAAAGAAAGTAATTCCCTTGGATTTCTTTTATTTGCTTTCTCTTGGGTTGCTGCTGTGCTGGGGATGTGAAATACCATGTTTAGGTATTGCTCCTTTTGTAGCAAAGGCTATTTGGAGTTAAAACTCAAAACTATTTATTCTGAGACAGCACAAGGCCTTTACACACTTCACTGGCATGTTTGCTTTTGTTGTAATATAAGTTAATATATGAGGCAAAAATTCTGTTTCATAGTTAAATAGGAGAGCAAGCTAAAAGGGAAAAAGTAACAGTAGAGATTTCCAGTTACTCTTTTCTGAATCTGCAGGATCTGAAGAGATGCAGAATTTTTTAGCTTTGTTTCTGTTTTTCCCAGGATGTTCAGAAAGGGAGGGTGGATACTGTTGCAACAAAGGTGTATCCTTTCATATTAGATACAAGATTTCAAACAAAAGTTCTCATAGTCCAGAACAAACTTGTAAGAATTTAACAATGTTTGAAGTCACTGTTGGAGGTGTGAGAAAGGAAGCCATGATTAGTGTGTGTCATCTTTGTTTTCTTAGCTGCTCTAAAATGTGCCAGCCATGTGTGTGGGGCCTTAACAAACAAAATTGCTTAGTCACTGCCTGACTGTAAGATCTGTACTGAAAACATTAAAATTTAGAGTTGTCTTGACACACAGCCAGCAAAGCTGATAACTGAAAATAATTCTGAAACAGTATTTTTGTCATTCACTTAATAATGGTCTATTGTTAAGGCTGTGAGGAAGAAGGAGCAAGACATTGTGCTGAAGCTGGTGCAGATCTGAAAAGTAAAATAATCAAACAAAAGCTGAAAGCTCACTAAGAGCCTGATCAAACCAATGCAAGTTACAGCATGAATGCCTCCATTTGGCTTTAAAACACTGTCCTAAATGAAGAGATGGAGAGACTGCTTGGAATCACCATTATTGGAGTGGTATAGTTTAGTTTTGTAGTTTACAGTGTGCTTCAATGCAGGAGGAGTGATTGGCTTTTGATAAAGGCATGGGTTAAAAGCTGTGCTTGTAAATAGTTGGGAATCCTTGATTTCACTGTTTAAAGTCCAGGTCTTGACTGACTTCATTCAGAGCCTGGCTCTGCCTTCCAGAGCCTTCCTACCACTGTTCAGTGCCAGTATCTGAAAGGGAAGAATAACTTTCCCTCAACCAAGTGTATTCTTGTTTATTGTCACCCTGCCAGAGCTGACAGCTCTTTGGCTGGCCACTCTGACTTTGAAAATTAACTATTCTTAAGGCTTCCAGATCAATAATGCTGGAGTTTAGAATAGGCTGTAAATATTTTGCTAACCATACATTATTAGAAGCTTTGAAGTCTTACTCCTGCAGTCTCCCAGGCACTTCTACTCAAGGACAATATGCAATGAAGCTTTTTACTGGGAGAGAGGGTGGCAAGCTCTGAGTTCTTGTGTAAAAAATCAGGCGTGCAAAGCACGTTTTTCTTCAAAGAAATGGGTCATTCCTCTGCAGCCCAGTGTAAACAGGCTTTATAAATCAACAGCTGAGAAGGCTGCAGGATGCCACCTATAAAGCAGTGTTTATCTGGCTGTTTGGTGAGTGGTGCCCCTGTACCTTGTAGATGCACTGGTAATTCAGCTTTAAATCGATCCTCTAATGGCCTACAACAAGGCATGAGAAATGGGAAAGTGATTGTTCATCTGCTGTAACATTGCCAGAAGCTTCATAGGAATGAAGGAATGAAACACCTGAACTCTTGCCTTGTGGCTGACAGAGTAATTTTACAGGGTTTTGTGATGTGCAAGCAGCATTGATGTAGAGAGAACACCTGTACAGCTAATAGGTTTGAACAGGTTGGGTTTATATTTTGTTTTGTTTTGCTTTTTTAAATTTTTATAAAGTTTGGCAGCAGTGCCTTGTAGGCTTGGACCGTGGTGGATTTTTTTGGAGGCTGCCTGCTGCAGGATTTTAGGAATTGTTTCTTGATTGGTTAGTGCAATGCAGGGCATTGCAATGTCTCCTGAGGCAACAGAGCTTACTGACACACAGGATGGTTTTAGAAACTGGGAGAAGCTGGGGGCCAGGTCCAGACAGCACAATTAAAAAATAAAAAGCTTGGAAAGTCATTAAAAACATGGATTTGATTCACTGGTCCTACTGATAGCTCATAGAGCAGATACTTTCCATTTCTTTACCAACACTGTCCAGAGAAGATGCTCTGTATCTCACTTGAAAGCTCTATAGGTTGCATGGCAGTCCCACATGGGATGGGAGGTAATGTCCAAAAAAAGGACTGGTACATTTTTCACCCCCACAGATTTTTCTGTACACAGTTGAAGACCTAACCAAGAGAAAAAAAAAAAAAAAAAAGGAAGTCTAAATAGATTTATTCTGTTTAAAAAGTATGATAGAACATTAGAACATTCCTTAAGAACATTCTTAAAGCTTTCTGTTTCTGGTCAGTGTTTTGGTCTGTACCTGCTCTCAAGTCTTGCATGCAATGTGTACATTGTTGTGGCTCCTAATCTACAATCTGTCCTCACCCTCTCACTCGCTGTGTGAGAACAGGATGCCTCATGTGGGAGGAGGAATGCAGGCAGCAATCACAGGCTGGCTCAGAGCTGAAGTGCCAGTAGGGCAGGAGAACAGGGAGCTTGTAGCTTTGGGAATCAGCTCTCTGTGGGTAAATTTCTGTAATAAGCAGCTTTTCTGTTTCAAATCATTTGGTAATTCTTGTGTGCTAAGCAAAGCAAGGTTTTGTGTGACTGTGTTCACAGGGGTCTGAGGATGAGGGAAGAGATGAGGATCTGACTCCATGTTTCAGAAGGCTGATTTATTATCATATATATTGTATTAAAACTATACTAAAAGAACAGAAGAAAGGATTTCATCAGAAGGCTGGCTAAGAATAGAAAAGGAATGGAATGATAACAAAAACTTGTGTGTAGGACAGAGAGTCTGAGCCAGCTGACTGTGATTGGCCAGTAATTAGAAACACCCACATGAGCCCAATCCCAGATGCACCTGTTGCATTCCACAGCAGCAGATAACCATTGGTTACATTTTGTTCTTGAGGCCTCTCAGCTTCTCAGGAGGAAAAATCCTAAGAAAAGGATTTTTCATAGAAGATGCCTGTGACACAGCTGTCTGTAGTGTAAATTTCTGTAATGAGCAGCTTTGCTGTTTCAAATCATCTGGTAGTTCTTGTGTGCTAAGCAAAGTGAGGTTTTGTATTTTGGGATTTAATTTCTTTTGTTAAAAGGTGGATGATGGAGGAGCAGATTGCTGAGGTGCTGAGACTCTGGAAGTTCAACCTTTATGCCTTTTCCATTTTTTTTTTTTTTCCTTTGACTCTATAACCTGCGTTTGGGGCAGGCCAAAAATTTCTGGATTGCAATGTGCTTAAAACCATGAAATAACCAGGTGGTTCTTTAGTTATCTGGGAAGGCTGATGTGAGTTTTCTCTCTCTGGCAGCTGTGGCCAGCCCTGTGCTGTGGCAGAAGGAATGTGCCAAGGGGCCCGAGGTGTGGTGCCAGAGCATTCGCACGGCGTCGCAGTGCGGGGCACTCAAGCACTGCCAGCAGAACGTCTGGAGCAAGCCTGCTGTGGTAAGTGCCAGCCTCTGAGAGCCCCCAGGCCCACCTGGGGCTCAGCTGGATGCTGTCCACACTCTGAGGGAGATTTCTCAAGTCTCTGATGGGAGTTAAGTGCTACATCAGGCTCTGCTGAGGTTGCCTTAATGTGGGTGCTGGATGGAGGTTGCTTTTCACTGCTCTGCCTTGCACAACTTGTCTGCTGACTTCTCCTGTGACCTGTTGCACAATCACCCAGCAATGTATGGAATGGAGCTAGTGGATTTCACTTGTTCCTCTGCATTATTACTGACTCCTAATTTAGAGGAGTCTTTTCTGAACTTGAGCAATTACTACAAAAAGGCTGTGTATTTATTTCTCAAAGGTTGAAATTCCCAGAAAGATGCAGCATATGCTAAATTATGGGAGGCACCACAGAAAAGAATAGTCCAAATGTTATATTTAGTAACACCCTTTGATCCCCATACATATTCTTTGATCTCCCGTACATATTCTTTAACTTTTGCAAGTTTAAAGAAAGTCTTGGAAATACCAACCAGACACAGTGGAAAGCAGCTGCCTGAGCTTGCAGGTGACTGAAATGCAGCTTTGGAATATGCAGCTTCCTAGGCAAGGCAATCAGTGCAGTGGTACTGGGGAGTACAAGGTGCTTAGGAGCAGTTCAGGCCTATATCTTGTAATGCATGGCCCTGCTGTCTCCAAGATGTCCCTAAAATCAGACATTTCATTCACTGCAGCACACTCTGCTAGATTGTCACTGAGGCAGCAGCTACATGACCTGTATGAAGATATGAGAATTATTTGAACTGAGTACATTTTTCCAATAGATCGTGGATTTGATTAATGTGGCCTCTTCATCTTCAAATTGAATGGAATGTCCATCTGCAGATCACTGTCTGATTAAATTCTTATAGTGGCACCTATCATACAGTACATATACACATCATTTTCTCATTACTTTTCAAGTTGCATTTGCACTAAATGTCAGGACTGCTTTACTAGGTGGAGCTGTAGTTTGGGTATTGTTTCTCAGTTTTCCAGGGGAGAAAAAGGTGTTTTACATACAGATTAATTCAGTCCACATTGGCTATATCTGTGCAGAGATACTTCAGTTTAAGGAAAAGTAGGGGAAGGGAGGAATGTCAGATCACAGCTACAATGGTTGAAGCAGCCTGAAATGTTCTAAGATTTCTAGCAAGTGTGAACTCTGAAAGAAAAGGTAAAAGGAGAAGGTGTCTTGGGGCAATCAACTTTGTATTTCCAGGGACTGGGAGGAGGTGAAATGAACAAGCAGTAGCATGTCAGCTTTCATCCAGCATTGGTTTACTGACGAAACTGTGGCTGGACATGCCTGAAATAGCCTCACTCTGTTTAAAAATACCTCTCCCCACCCTGGCCTCACCTTTCTTCCTTAATTCCAGGTGTAACGTTTGCCCTTTGTGTTGTTGTTCACACTCTGCTCTTACAGGCACTTAATTCTTTCTCCAAGTAACTCTCTGCTTCTCTCTCCAGAGCAGTATTCCCTGTGACTTGTGTAAGGAGCTTGTGACAGTTGCTGGCAAAATTTTAAAGGATAATGGCACTGAGGTAAGCAAAGCTCCTTTTCTCCTCGCCCCAAAACACTATTTGGTTTCAAGGTCTCGTGGTGAGGGGGTGGAAGAGTAGTCTGTGTTGTTTTCCTAACATAAGCAGCAGATGTTGAAAGGGACTGAAGTGCATGAGGAAAGGCTTTTAAACAGCCTCTGCTGGTTTAGAAATTAGCAAATTCTAGAGCCTCCCATGCCTTAACACATCCCTGATTGACTGTAGATACTTAATAAAGTTGTTCTTGTGCCAGGATTAAAAGGTGGGGTACTGCAGTCTCTAGGAGTGGGTGGTTACACCAGCTGGCTTTTGTTTTGCTTTGTGGGCACTGCTTCCCTTTTTCTTTTGTCAGCCTGTGGGTACTTTGTTTAAACAAGTCACTGTCCCATGAGCCCAGAAGTTCACATTCTCCTCTTGAGTGTAAGTGTTCTGTTCTGGCAAGGCTGGGCTGTGCAGGCCACACGAGCATGTGACATGTTTGTGCTGTGCCAGGGTCTCACTGAAGCTCCAGAACTGGGGAAAACGTGTCTGTAGTGTAGAACCTCATTCTAGTTCTGCTTGTTGCTACCTGGACCTACCTGACTCTGAGGAGCTTGTTTCAGGCTTTGTCTTGTGCTTTTTGGGAATGGAAGGAGCATTTGAGAGAGAAATATAATCTGTCTCTGCTTACCTCATCTTTGATAGGATGAGATCCGCTCTTACTTGGAGAAGACCTGCGAGTTTCTTCCTGACCCAAGCCTTATCTCTGAGTGCAAAGAAATTGTGGATTCCTACCTACCAGTTATCATGGATATGGTCAAGGAAGAGCTTGTAAGTAGATAACAATTTTCAGCTGTTGGTATTAAAAGTTGTGCTCCTCTTGATGCCAGAATTTCTCTTCTGCCTCAGATTGTGCATATGAATCCTTTGTGGATCACTGGTACTGTTAGTTTGAAGACTCCTTCCTTGCTATGAAACATTTTCCTTGTCTTACCATGTTTCAGCTGAATGACTCTCTACTCTGAACTTTAAAAGTGACATCAGTTTGGAGCTTTGTGTGTGTATCTTGTCTCCCCCAGGATAAACCTGAGGTTGTGTGCAGTGCCCTTGCTCTGTGCCACTCCCTTCAGAAGCACCTTGCAGCAATGAAACTCCAGAAACAGCTCCAGACCAACAAGATCCCAGAGCTGGATTTCTCTGAGCTGGCATCCCCGTTCATGGCCAACGTGCCTCTTCTCCTTTACCCTCAGGAGAAGGCCAAGCAGAAGCCTAAGGTAAGCCTAGGACTAAGGCCTGTTCTAGTGTGGACCATATGTATAATCTTGGATTAAGTTCTACAATCTGCAGAGGCAAGTCTTGTGCTGTGCTGTTGCCACCCAGGGCTGTGATAATCAAGCAGATTTTGCTGAAAACAATTTCTTCTGAGAGAAAGCTTGGGTTCAAACAAAGAGTTCAAAGGTTCAAAGGAAGAACAGCTCTTCCCATATTTTGAGCAACCTGCTAGCTGTGCCCCTCAGGGGATGCATTTGTCTCTGAATGTAAAGGTGACAGACTGGATTGGAAAAGAACAAATAGTTGATAAAGGGGAATAGATGAGGCAATGAACTTGGTGCAGAGGCTGAGTGTTGACAGCAAGCCAGGGTGTGGGAGTTGAGCAGTGAGTGGGCTGAGAGCAAGCTGCTGTGGGTGGAGCAGGTAAGATCTATGCCAGATTTAGAAACCTCCCCACTGTGGTCTGTAACAAAACCAAAAGATTTGAAGATTGGGTATCTTAACTATTATCTTGGCTTTGGAGCCAAGTAAGTACCTAATCTCCATCTAGTGGCTGCTGCACACACCAGCAGTGGATTGTCTGCCTCCCTACTAGCTGAGGCTTCAAAGTGTTTCCCAGAGTATTTATTAAGGTTTGTACAGAGCTCAGAATGGTTTGTGAAACTTGGTAGTAACAGGAGCTTCTGAAACATGTCATGTGAAGTTGTGTCAACTTGAGTTTCCTTTCTGTCTTTGTCCAGGCTGGTGGGGATGTGTGCCAGGATTGCATTCAGCTGGTCACTGATGTTCAGGAGGCTGTGAAGACAAACTCCTCTTTTGTGAAGTCTTTGGTTGCTCATGCCAAGGAGGAGTGTGACCGTTTGGGACCTGGCATGTCTGATATGGTAAACTGTCCCTTTTTATTGAAAGATTCTGTTCCTGTAAGCAAACATAAAATAGTTTGTTCAGTGCCTTAATCCCCTGATCATATTCTCTATTTAGTATCACAAAGGAGACATGTTGCATGTGTTAACACAGTCTAACAATAACACCACTGAAATGGTAAACTTTGTGGTCAGGAAAGTTGGGTGGGATGTGTGGGACTGGGGAGGAAGAGAAGGACTCCAGATTGCTTCTAGCCCTTAAAGGCCTTTTCCACAAACATGGCCTGGGTGGGTAATGTGGTTGTATCAGTGGGGGCTGGGCCTTTTTGCCCTGAGGGGAAGAGAAAAGGTTAAGCAGTTACCTGTGCAGCAGTTTTGCAACCTGAAATGCCATCTTGTATTTGGGCCAAGCTCTGAAAGACCTGTTGTTATGCAGTAGGACAGGTAAATTAATACCTTGAGATGTAGTAGAAAATTCTAGATGGACTCTACAGCACAAGTGGTTTGGTAGTCATGAGACTTTGTTTTCCCACTTTCTGCAGTGCAAGAGCTACATCTCTGAGTACTCTGACCTGGCCATCCAGATGATGATGCACATGGTAAGATCAGCAGAGTGCAGTATTTGCTCTCACTTCATTTCTCTGGCTTGTGTAGCTAACTTCTTTGGAAACAGGAAACATGCACTGCAGCAAAACTTTGGGGAGGGCCCTTGCTCTCTAAGCCTTGGTGTTAATGCTTTGAACTTGGTGTTTTTTGGATAGCAATTTCAGTTTCAGGATGCTTTCTTTAGCACATTTCCTTCCATTTTATAACCACTTCTGCAGTGCAAAAGGCACTCTAATCCTTTGAAATATGAAGATACATTGCACATGTTCCTTTATATTCTTTTATCTCAGTCCTGTGCTTACACCACTTCCCCCTTCCCCAAATACTGTGTTAATGACCTGAGAGCTGGCTTTGTCACAGTATTGCAACATTAGTTCAGGTGTGAGAGATAAGGTGTCTCCTGGAAACAAGGCTGCACATCCTGCTGGGATTGCTGTCTGAAGGTTCCTGCTCTCTGGGCTTTGACAGGAGCCATGGAAAGTGAGTGGTGCCTTCTGCAGCAGCATTCATTTACCTCATACACAGCACCTCTCTATCCAGAGAGCTGAGGGACTTTAAAAAACACAGCCAAGCCTTTCCTCAGTGCAGTCTGTAGATGCCACAGGTGGCATAACAAACTACAGGTGAAGACCTGGCTGTCTTGAACCTGAATTTGGCAACATAGTGGCCTTTTCTTGTTTCCAGTTGCCATAGGCTACTCAGAAGCTCATCCTGTTCCTTAAACATTTGGAGAGAAGTCCATGTTTGTTCCAACAGCACTTAAGTTTCTCATTCTAAGCATTGCAATGCAGTGTGTTGTTCATGGCTGAAATTGGAATATGACTACACCTGGTGTGCATCTGAGTGCTGTCCAGACTCTCTGGAGGTAGTCTTGCCCAGGATGCCTTAATAACTGCAGATGAATAATGCTGGTTAGCACTGTGCAATTAAATGTGAATTGCTGTAGCTGAGGATCTTTGGGGTGGGGACTGTGTCGTATTCCATTATCTTTGTGCAAAGAATATATGCAGTTCCAAGTGCTTGATGTGTTTTTTTTCTCTTAACTGTTATCTTCAATTTCTCCTTCCTTCCTCTGTCTCCACTCTCCCCTGTCAACAGAAGGATCAGGTAGGTGAGCAACTTGCCTGTGGTGATAGCCTGCTTGTAGTTCACCCTTTGCTCTTAAAGGCCTTGTAGTTCACTTCTGGCTCTCTTAGCTGTACACTTGGTGTGACTGTGCTCAGTGCTGACAGATACAAGGGATATTTATGTGATTAAAACAGAGAAAGACTAAAGGCTTCCTCCAGTGCATCAGTCCTACTTCCAGCTCCAGATACCACTTTGTGCTACCAAGATTTCAACTTGATTATGCTTTGGCCAGTAGAGAAGAAAATATCCTCCCTTTTACAGAAGAAGGATAGATGTGGAAAAAACATGCCAGTGGCTCCTGGCAGCTGCTGGTTTAAAGTCTGGGCTCCAAAGGGCTTGAGCAAAGCTGTCCCCAGTCTTTCCTTGGTTAACCTTTAAATCTAGGACAATGGTATAGATGTTTGAAGTATATGAACTGAAAAGGTGAAAGCTTCCTAGAGCAATTGGGGCTTTTAATTGAACCTGTCCTGTGGGACCTTGTGTCTGTCACCCCTCTGTGAGGGAACCTGTGTGTATGTGGGTGTTGCTGTAACATTAATACCTGGAACTGCTTCTTACAGTGCATGAACCAAAGGGTTTGACTTAAAGGTGCTGCCTGGAGTAGTCTGAAGCAGCACAGTGTCTCTGAGGTGCTGCTTCTGCCTGTGCATGAGATTGTGGCATGATGTGTCAATATTAACTCTGGGATAAGCCTCTGCTGTAGGAAGCTTGGAACAGGGTGAGATGTGATCTTCTAATGACCTGGAGGACCAAGGGTGTCTTTTTCTAGCTTTAGGTGAGAAAATGCAAGTTTTGTGTCTCACTCAGTACAGCCTTTCTCACTTTGGGTGTCCTCCTCAGAACAGTTTGCCTTGTATCTGACATTTCTTTGTGCATTTAGTAATGTATGTTCCAAAAAAGAAATGCATCAAGAGTGTATTTCTTTGAGAAAGAAAGCCTTTTTACAGACTATGTTTCTGTTTGCTGTTTTCTCTTACTGTGAGAACACTGCAAGTTCAGTTCTTGCAATACAAATGATTAGGCTTGGGTTTTAACAAGCTCAACTTTTGTTTCTTGTAGGCTGTGTTCAGTAATGAGAGAAATTGTTTCTGTTTGCAGAACATGATGTTTCTGGCAGCTTTAAAGAAGGTAGCTTGTGGATGAGGAAAGAGGTTCTTCTAGGCATTTCTCTCAGCTTCTGGGTGAACTCTGAAGTCAGGATAATTGGCCTCTCCTGTGATTACTTAAAGCTGGGGAGCAGCTTTGTGGATGCAGCTCTGATGTGATGCTGCTGGTGGCTTGTTCTGGTGTTGGTAGCTCTTAAGTCAACTCCTTTTGAAGGGCTTGCAAAGTGTGGGCTCATGGGTTTTTTTAAATGGGGTTTTTAACCTCTTCCTCTTTAACAGGAGCTGCTAAATTCCATCCAGTAGCTGTCCTGCCTATAACCTTACCAAATGCTTTGGCAATACTTGAAGTAGAAGTAGTCATAAATTTTGTGTTGGAACTTTTCAAAATTTTGCTCTCTGTGCCTGCTCACAGGCTCTGTAGAAAGGGCAGAGACTTCTAGACTTTTAAAACTTGCTTACACATCTCTTTTCAGCAACCAAAGGACATTTGTGCCATGGTTGGGTTCTGTTCTTCTGTGAAGTCTGTTCCCCTTCAGCCTCTGGTGCCAGCTCAGGTGGTTCATGAGGTGAAAATGGAAATTGTGGAGGTAAGATGGGCTTTTTGTACTTTGCTTTCCTTTTTGCTTTAGTGTAACAAACCAGGTGAAAAAGATGAGCTTTCATGCACAGAATAATCCAAGTTTCCCTGCACATAAATTCCTGGCCTTTTCTTGTTTCTGATGCTGCTTTGTGAAGTAGGAAAGCTGAATGATTTGTTTGTACAGCAGAGCCTGCATTGAACCAGAGTTACAAGGTAATGCTTTAGGATTGAAAGGGGAACTCTTGTTCCAGCAGTTCTGAATGACACCTTAAATGTAAATTCCCAGTTTGAGTTGTGCTCTTTGTTTGCAGTAATACTTTGATCTCTTTTAAAAATGGGGCAGCACTCTGCATGTGCAGGTGAGGGATCAGAGTCAGAATGCTGAAGCTCTGAGTTTGAAGAAGCAGCTTGGCTTCTCCTAAGGGTATTTTTGCAAACAGGAGGGTGCTCTCAATTCTAGGAAATGTTGTCCTCCATTAATGTATTTTAAAAACCACTATATATTTCCCTTGACTTCTGTCTCTGTGGGATTGTTTATTTATTTAAAATTTAGTTATTTATTTGTTGTTTATTAAAATTGTTAATTTTATTATTGTATCTACTGAGTTCAACTCTTTGTACAGCCTGGGGGTTGTAGTCTTAAAATTAGTCATAAAAAATGCCTGTTCATTCAGACAGGCTTTTTACTGAGTCCTTTGAGGTTGGTTTTGGATTCTGTGTGACCTTTTGAATACAGCCCAAAGTGAGCAGCTGGGTAAATGCTGTTAGGCATTGTCCCTGTCAGATGTGGTCCAGTGCTGATTTATTGTGTGTGTATTTCTTCCTCTGTGTACTCAGAAGGCCTCAGTTCAAGAGAAGACTTTTTCCTTGTGTGAAATCTGTGAGACCATGGTGAAAGAAGTGACTGGCCTCTTGGAGAGCAACAAGACAGAGGTGTGTGAGTGGTGGCCATTGTACCCTTCCAGCTTTGGCTGGGACGGGGCTGCACTGAAAGGGGAAGGAAAATCAATTTTATTGCCTGTTTTCACAACAGCAACATCTCTATCCTGGATGGGACAGAAAAGATGTGCTTATGAACTGAATCCAAGTTCTCTCCCTCATTTTCTCCCCCTGCCCTGTGCTTCAGGAGGAGATTGTGCATGAGATGGAGGTGGTGTGCCGCCTGTTCCCAGGCACTGTCAAGGACCAGTGCAAGGACTTCATCGAGGTCTATGGCCAGGCTGTCATTGACATGCTCTTGGAGGCAACAAATCCTGAAGCTGTTTGTGCCATGCTGAAATGCTGTGCAGCCAGCAAGCTTCCCCAGCAGCCAGGTGGGTGAGGAGGGGGGGTCTGTGGTGTTCAAAATGAGCTGGTTCACCTATGAGGTCTCTTTTTGAGGATACTGCTGATACTGCCTCCTTCCTTCTCTTTCTCTTTACCCAAGCCCTGATGTTTGGTTTGGTTTTTTATTTCCCTTCTCAGCTGTGGTGAAACCTGCAGGTGGCTTCTGTGATATCTGCAAGATGGTGGTGGCTTATGCAGACAAAGAGCTAGAGAAGAATGCCACGACAGCTGAAATTGAAGCTTTACTGGAAAAAGTCTGTCACTTCCTGCCAGAGTCTGTCAGTGAACAGGTAAGGTGTTTGTGCAGGAGGCAGACTAAAAAGCCATGGTCTTGGTGTTTACATAGCTCCTAACACTGACAGTCAAGCTCAACCTCATTTTCTGAGTGTTTCATCTGATATTTTGTCTATATGCTAATTTTAGGTCCGTCTCTCAAGTGTCTCTGCTTCTGCTATAAATGTCCAGGTACTCCTAACAGAGGTCTCTGTGTTTGGCCAAATGCCTTGTCTCTGGCTGGAGACAAACTGTCCACAGGTGCAGCTGGGACTGCCTTGTGTCCAACAACCTGATCCTTCTCAGGTTTTTCCCTTTACTAAATAACATCAAAGCATAGCAGCTTCTCCTGTCCAGTAGAGCAAACAAAATAAAAAAAGGGGGAAAGACTTGACCTGAGGCGGTTGAATGACCTTGCTGTGTGGCAGCCTGCCTTCCAGTCAGGGCAGGGCAGATGGAGATGAACAGGAGGATGAAACACAGAATCCTGGAATGGTTTGGGTTGGAAAGGACCTTAAATCTGTCTAATTCCAACCCCCCTGCCATAGGCAGGGACAGCTTGCAGAGTATTTGGGAAAACTAGAGAGCAGCTTCTCTTGTTGGTTTTTGTAACAGCATTCTCTACTAAAGGAGTTTGGGGTGCAGGGGGATTAGCTTTGCTCAGTTCCCATCCTTGGGAGTTGGCAGGCCCTTGAATAGATGTCTGCTTTAAGGGTCTGAATTGACTGGCTGGATTGTTGCACTAATTTGCAGTCAGGAAAGGTTTGCCTGGAAATCCTCTGAGAACAGTGGGTGGGAACACTTGAAGGTTTTATTTATTTTTTTTCTCTCAACACTGATCCTGCTCAGGGGATTAATGAAGTAATTGAAGGTAGGCTGGTGTAATTCCAGTGGGACACCTGTTAGACCACTGATATCAAGATTTACCTGAAAATCTTATTAGGTGGCTGCTGAGTGTCAGCAAGTGGCAACTGCTTGTGAGTTTACTGGGGATAGAATAGAGGCTTAAAGCAGCTGTGGAACAGCTCTTCCTGCTGTGAGGCTGTTTAATAGCTGTGGTTGCTTTATTAATTGGTGCTGTTTGTCTCTGCTGAGAGCAGCAGCATCTTCCTCAGCTCTGGAGCCAGCTCTCCACTAGAGGGAGAGAGGCTGTTCTGGCAGGCAGTGCTCCTGCTGCAGCCTTGTCTGAGGGAATAACTGGAGTGCAAGTGCCTGGGAGTCCTTGCTGCTGTCCTGCTCAGGGAGTTTGTCTCCAGCTGCTTCTGTGTGCTTCCCTCTTGAGACAGGTGTGATCTCCACCATCAGAGGTGTGAAGCTTTGCAGTCAAAGCTTCCTCTGCTTGGTTCTTTTCCCAAAGCCTGTCCTGTTTGGTTCTTTTCCTTGTGACCCCTTCTCTCCTCATGGTGTGTCTACAGACAGCAGTGGGCAGGTGTGAGCTGGCAGGAACAATGATGTAGTTGTGTGATTAGTGCCTGACTCCTGTGCCATGTGCAGAGCTCAAGCCTCTGCTTTATCCTTGTGGAGTGTGGTGTTGGGGTAGCACACAGGCCTGCCTGCTGCAGCCCACACATTCCTCTGCTTTCAGAGGCTCCACAGGAGAATCTCTCACCCTGTGTTTCGTTGCAGTGTGTGCAGTTTGTGGAACAGTATGAACCCGTGGTTGTGCAACTCTTGGCAGAGGTGATGGATCCCACTTTTGTTTGCACTGTGAGTATTGAGTTTGGTTTCATTGAGGGCAGGCTCTGATACAGTCCTGGGTGCCTTTCAGTGCCCAGCAAGCAGAAACACTGCTGGAATCAAAATCAGTGCACTGAATGCTTGGAGCAAGCCCCTTGTGCAAGGCCTGGGCCTTGCTGAATGGCCAGCTGTGTGACTGCCAGCCCAGCAGCAGGAAGGGCAGCAGGACAGACTGCCAGGGGTTATCCACTGCTGAGGTTCAGTGACAGGCTGTGATGTGCCCTCAAAGTGACATTTCTTGAGAAAGGTCCTTCTCTAGAGGATCTGTTTTTCAAAACTTGATACGAAGGAGTTCCAGTAACTGAACTCTGCCCTGGCTCAGGTTGCCTGGCTGCTGGTTCAGCTGCAGGTGTGACCTCAGTGGGAGCTCCTGCAGCTTCCACACTGCCTCAGGTGCAAGCTCAGACATAAGGCTGGACTGGAGATCTCTTGGTGCAGCTAGGAAGGTGCTGATTGTGCTGTTGCCCTTTTCCCAGAAACTCGGAGTGTGTGAGTCAGCTAAAGAGCCTCTCCTGGGGAATGATGCCTGTGTCTGGGGTCCAGGCTACTGGTGTAAGAACATGGACACTGCTGCTCAGTGCAATGTAAGTAAAGCTGCCTTCTGCCTCCTGTTGCCTTCTGATCCTTGACAGCTCTTTCTGAGCCATTTTTGGCTTCTACTGCACTTGGAAGTGGATGAACTCCAGTTCAAAATAAACAAAAGGGTACTAGTTTGATTAGAGAGTGTTTCATAGCTCTTAGCTTTCTCAAAGCTGACTTTCCTCTCCTTTTTGTGTCCCACACCTGTCTGCCAGTATTTCAGAATGTCTAGTAAGGTACAGTGTCAGCTTTATATTTAGTCAGTGTTCCTGCAGCCAACAGACCATGTCACAATCTCTCAGCAGGCTCTAAAAATTGGCTTCCAGTATTGCTTTTTCTGCCAGGCCTTAATGGCTAAGGGTCATCAGCCTTCTTTCCTAAAGCTCCTTCCTGGCTGCTGAGGCTCAGGATGTTATTTATTCTAGTCCTCTTTGAAATCACTTACTTTAAGAAAAACAGATTTGCTCCCAAGATCTTGGCTCAGGATAAGGTGTTGAACTGCTTGTTTGCAAACTGGCTTTTTTCCACTAATATCAGCTATTTCTTCCCCTTTAGGCTGTTGATCACTGCAAACGTCATGTGTGGAACTAGAAGAAGACTTTCCTGTTCTGAAAGTTTGCCATGGCTCTTAGGAAATGTGGGCTGAGGTTGGCAGAGAGCTGTATCTCACCTGTCCCTCCTCTCTGCCTCATTAACAATTTGACCTTCAAGTTCCTTTGTTGTAACTCTTCTGTAGCAGTGCTGCTGTTGAAGGATCAGATTTTCATTGTTGACTTAACAAAGATATTTCTGATTGTACAGTTTAACCCATTATGCTCCTAAAAATAGTCAGTGTGTTGTAGATTTTTTTTTTTAATTGGTAGGCTGAAGTGTTTATGTGCTGGGAAGAATGAGAGAGATTGTGAAATGAGACAAGGCTCTTATCTTTTAATTTTAAAAAAAAAGAGCAAGATAGCAGCTAAACTTTCAAATGTCTTTCTGTAGGCAGCATTGGGAAGATTTTACATGCTTTGCATTTTTAACATCTGGCTGGAACGTTTATTTTCTGTGTATGGGAACTCTAAGGGATAATGTTGAATCTGGGAACCCTTTTGGCTGGAATTTTCAAAGCTCTGCAGATACAGAGGAGTGGGCTTTGTGTGCCCAGCTAACTTTCAAAGTCCCTGATAATTAAAAAGATGCATTTGTATGATCAGCCTTTTGCATTTGAGTGACCACGCTTGTGGCTCGCGGTGTTGTTCTAGCTAAGGAAATCCCTCCCTCAGCCTTTGATCACATCCTCCTGATTTCCTTGGGCTGCTCAGTCCCAGCAGGGGTGTTCTGCTGCCAAGCCCAGGCCCGTGGGATGTTAGTTTCCTGAAGCATGCTGGTGTACCTGAGGAATCACTCCCTTTTTCCTTATCCTAGTTGCTCAATTCTGCTTGGTCTTGCAGCTTCCCACAAGCAGCCAGCTGGGTGCTGAGGAGGTAGCATGAGCTGTCACTGGAAGATGGAGGAGGAGGATCAAGTCAGCAGGAGCTGGGAATATGTCAGAGGGAGCTCAGCACTGAGGGGGGAATTGGTGGAAAAACGGGTTTCATTGTAACCTGTTTGTTCCCTGCTCTGCTTTTTCTCTCACAGTATATTTCAGTCATCTAAAACTTGAGAGGTGCTGTGAGGCCTGGGGGCACCTCCCACTGCTGCCCACCCACTTTTCCTGACACCCTGCTGAGTAACTGGAGGCATGAATTGTTACCCAGAGCTGCTCCCATTTCTGCTGGGAAATGCAGCAAGCAGAGATGGCAGGTGGTAGGAGCACTAAAGTGGTTATTTTAAGCTCTGCTGGCACACTTGACAGCCTGCCTTTCACACCTCTCTGAAATTCCACTTAAATGACCTAAAATCCCCCCCAAAAAAGCCTTCAAGGCAGGCTTGCTACCCTGGGAACATGGCAGGCCTTGGGGGTGAGAATCCTGCTTGTGCTGCTTGGGACAGACCTTGCACTGGGTGTGCATTTCTGATCAGGTTAATCCCCAGGCCAGGGGCACTGAGGTAGCTCTGAGGAGACCTTTGGGAAGGAGCAGCTGGGCAGATGTGGAGCTTTGAAAATTCCAGTCCTGTTCAGAAAGATTCTGGTAACTCCTGCTGTTCCTGTGGGGCATGCAGGAGCTCCAGTAACAATGCTGTAGCAGCAAGTAGAGTATTTTTCATTGGAAAACCACTGGACTGCAGGTCTTTAGTTGATCTGTGTGCATACTAAAAGCCTGGGCAGTGCTGGCAGATGGCAACAGAGGTTGTTCTCCCCTGTTTCCTGAATGCTGAAGCACTCATGGCTTTAAAGAAGAGAAAAAAAAAAAAGAAAAAGAGGAAAATTTCCCCTAAAGACATAAAATACCTGCAGCTTTCTGTCCTGGCAGGCTTGTGCAGTGGTTTGGTGGTGTATCCCAGCTGGAGCAGATAGGAGAAGGGCTCTGTCCCTTGGGCAGTGCTGCCCTGGAGGGACAGGTTGTGTGACACCAGGGCACAGAGTGTGGCATTGGGTGTTTTAAACTGGATGGTGTGGAGCTTTTTTAGGGAGAGGTGAGGCTGCATTGACAGCTTGGCAGGATGGTGGGAAGGTTTTATTTTCCTGGGGTTTTTAGTAGGATTCATGCTGGGCAAGGTGAGCCAGGGGAAGTCCTGTGCTGCTGCTGGGAGTCCCTTTAGTTTTCTCCCTTCCTGTGGACTGTGGTACCCGACCTGCTTGAGTCATGCTGGGGGGACACTGTGCAGTTGCTTTCTAAAGAACATTGTCTTGATTTTTTTCTTTTTTTTTTTGGTTTTTTTTTGGTTTTTTTGCACAAAAGCTTCCTTAATGAACAATAAAAACTTCTGTAAACCGATTATTTCTCTTGTTTCATTTTTCTCCGTGACAAAGTTTCTTATTGAGGTTCCCCTTGGCTGCAGGGCCAGGAGAAGGCACATCCCAAGGAATCTGGGACTGAATGGATTCAGGTTCCCATTATGCTGCGTGTCCCATCAAGCCTTTGTTCTGCAGGTGGAAGAGGCTTGCCTGGGATTGCTGCCTCTCTTCCCTGGACAAACACAACGCCTGCAGTGAGGCAAGAGCCCCGTGTTGCAATCCTGCCTTGCACAGGGACTCCTTGATACCGGCCTTGCCTGCTGACTCGCACTCAATGTGGCTTCCCCTGTGTCCTCATTCCCTGCTCGCTTCCAAATAAAATGTAAAAATGTCATTCAAAGGCAGAGAAAGAAAATATAAAAATGTCATTCAAAGGAGCTGTCACGTGGCTCTGGGGCAGTTCTCCCCGTGTGTGCCCACCCTCTGCAGCCAGGTTAGTGTTGAGCAGCTGCTTCTGACCTCCTGGGAGTACCTGCCTGCCTCTGGTCCCTCCCTTCCTCCCTCCCTGGTGATGATTTTATAATCAAGGCATAAAGTGAGGGGTGTGGTAATTGCCCTGCGTAGGTGTGGATTCTCACTGCTTCTCCCAGCCCATCCAAGATTCCTCAGTCTGGGAGCAGCATAGGAGAGGAACCAGCCACTGAGGACTCTTAGGAACGGCATGGAGAGCAAATGGAGTGGCTTGGTGCTGATCATTTCTGTGTGCCTGGGCTCCTACCAAGGTAAGGCCAGGCCTGGAGGTAGGTAGGATGTGGACAGCCCAGAAAACCCTGCTGAATCCCAAAACTGTTCCCAGCTTTGGTGTCTAAGCTCCATAATGTGCTTCCTCTGGTGTTGGAGTTGGGCAGAGGAGAGCTGGGGAAGGTGACACTGCTGTCTGTGCTGCCCACCTGGAGGTCAGAGTTGGAACTTTGGTCTTTGAAGGTGATCACAGGGTAAAGGGGGTTTGTTCCCTCCCTTCTCTGGGATTCAGGCACAGCTGGTGGTGTGCTGGGGCATGGAAGGAGGGAAGCTGTGACAGAGTGGGGGAGAGGGGCTGCACTCTCTCCTGCTCTTGGTTTGGGGCCTGGCTGCTGCTGTGAGCTGGGGAAGCCACTTGGTTGTCACAACAGTGTGACTATGGAGCTGTCCTTGTCCTGAGGGTCCTCCCAGGAGATGCAGGAGGCAGGAAGCTGGCTCTGCTGGCAGATGGCAACAGAGGTTGTTGGCTTGCTGAGCTCTGGGAAGGGTGATGGGGTGATATTCTCTACTCACCTCAGGAGCCCTCCCAGCGTCGGCACTTGGGTATCTGTGAGTGAATCCTCCTGCAGGCAAACCTCTGCTGCTGCCCTTAGTCATTCATCCCCTGCCCATCCCCAGGAACCAAGCTGGGGAAGGAAGGCCTGCTCCCAATCCCTGCTCCTTGCTTGGGGGCAGATCACTGCTTCCTGGGGAAATCTCCCTTAGAATTCGATGAGCTCTGCTGTTGCAAGCAAACCCCCTCGCACCCCAATTAGCCCAGGCTTGGCCCCTGTGATGTGACGTGCCCAGGTTTTGTGGGTGCACACACACGAGCCGGCCTGGGGGGGACGTGTCTGGGTGTTCCAGCCGGCAACAGGCAGAGCAGGAATGTTCACCTGTGCTCGGCACGTCCGAGCCCTGCGGTGCCGCCCGCCCCGGGAGCCGGCGGGGCTCGGCCGCACGGCCCGGGGGATGCCGCGGCACCGGGGACCCTGCGAGCCTCGGCGAGAAAGAAGGGTTTGGGAGCTGGGAAAAGTGTATTTATGGTTCTTGGTGCAACAGGGGCGTGCGCCAGGCCGGGAATTGGGGCGCTGGGGCCCACGCTGCCACCCACCCCTGGGGTTTACATCACAACCGGCTCGCCAGGCTCTGCCGGCTCGGCCGGGGCGCTCCGGGGCTCCGAGGAATGCCAGCACAGCCCTGCCACAGCTGGAGCTCGCTGCTGCATCCCCCTGAGCAAAGCCCACCCCATCCCCCGGGCCTGGCAGGCAGCAATAGGGCACTTGTGGCTGGCCTGGAACTGCCGCGGCACGGGAGCATCCCTGCCTTGCTCCTTTGCCCAAAATGGCATCATTTAATAACGCAGCTGCCTGTGTGCCTGGCAGCACGAGGTGGCTCCAGCAGGGCTGTGGGACGTGTAGGAGACCTCACGGGACACCAGCTGCCCCAGTTGCTTGCCCCGTGGCAGTGCTTTCCACCTGGGGAAGATCCCCCTGCTCTCAGCTGCTGGGTGTTATGATTAGGCCTAATTGCTTTCTGGCCCAGAAATTGCTGCTTGACCTTCAGCTTGAGCAGGGTGAGCAGTAAGTGCTGAGCTGAGGATCTCTGCGAGTCAGGAAACAAAACCACCCGCGTCTTTTAGGTCCTCCCGACCCCAGCGCGGGGTCCGGGCTCCAACACAGCTCCGTGAGAGATGCTGCGGGAGGACCAGCTCAGAAAAAAACCTGTGGGCTTGTTGTGTCTCCCGCCTCCTTGGTTTTGGTGCTGCCCCTTAATGCCTCCGCTGACTTGCCATTCCTGTTTGCCCTGATGCTGGGGCCGGGGTTGAAAAACATAAATATATCCCTCTGAGCTGATGGGGCGAGTGTGGCACGGGTGTGTGGGAAGCCTGGGAACCCGGGGGGACTCGCCCTGCCCCGGGGCCCGCCTGCCCCAATGGCAGCCCGATGGGGAAATCGGGGCTGAAACAGCTCCCGGCACCCGGCAGCGCTTCTGGGGCAGGCGGGGATGGGGTGGGGGGCTTGGACCCCTCTCGCCACAACTCCCAGTGCCCGGGACTTTGCAGGGTGGCCCTGGGCACCTCACGCTGCTGTTTCATGGATGAGCTGGAGGC